TTGGTAACTATTTAGGCCCCCTACATTTATGGTTCTTCAGGGTTCAGGAAACAACCCCAACCTAATCCCTGGCTCTCGCCTGTCTTCTGCAGTCTGCTCGGAGGAGAACCTGTGATCCAGAGGTAAATGGCCTCCAGCAAATGATTTAGGGTTTCGGGTTTAGGGCTTTTAGGGTTTATAGGGTTGATAGGGTTTATAGGGTTTAGGGTTCAAAAGGGGTTTAGGGTAGGACTCCTGGAGTTCGAGCTTTAGGGTGTTGTCGGGCTCTGGTTACCGCTCTTTGCTCAAGAAGGGATTTTATCAGTATTTCTCTGAGGGGTTGTATAGGGTGCGCGGCTCTGGGGTTTTGCTTCGGGCCGATTTGGGGTTGAGTACTATGATATACTGTACGATAGTATACCATGATATATCACAGTATATACATATATATATATATACATACCATAGCATACCACACCGTACTGTACTATAGTAGGCATCCTGGAAGGAGTGGTGATTCTGGAGCAACCGCTAAACTCAAACGCCAAACCCTAAAACTCTAAACCCTAACACCCTACGTCCTAAACCCTAAACCTCTACACCCTAAAACCTGTTCTCTAAAACTCGAAACCCTAAAGCTCAAAACCCTAAACCTCTGAACCCCAAAACCCAAAACCGAAGGAGAGCCTCTGGCCAGGATAGCTTCAAGGCGCGCTTCGCCATCCAAGGGTTCAGCCTGAAATTCAGGGTCTTAGTGGTTTTAGAGTTTAGGGTTTAGGGTTGGTGTTATAGGGCTTAGGGTCTTAGTGGGTTTAGAGTTTAGGGTTGGTGCTATAGGGTTTAAGGTTTCATAAGGGTTAACGGAAGAGAGGTCAGGGGTTGAGGGAATTTATAGGTTCGGGCAGAGGGCCTACACCTTAAACCCTGATGCTTACATCTTAAACGAACAAGGCGGAAGCCTTCTACAGTAGGACCCTTAAAAAACTTCCCCCCCCCCCTAAACCCACCCAAATAGAACCCCGAAGGTAATCCCTATCCTAGAACCCTGGGTCCCTTTTAATTAAGATAATGTCATAGTAGCCTTAACTTCTAGAAACCCTAAACCCGAAACCCTAAACCCTATAAACCCTAAACTTCAAACCCTATAAAATCTAAACCCTACACCCTACGCTCTAAACCTCAAGCCCCCTATAAAACCTGAACCCTAAACCCCAAACCCTAAACCCCCGAACTTCCAGGCAAGTTGCGGGCCGAAGCCCGAGACGAAGGCAAAGACGGACATCGCGAGAACTGCCGCCAGGGCCTGGCCTTCGACGGGAAAACCAGCGAAACCCTAAACCGCTTAGGGTTTAGGGGCTCTTAGGTTTTATGGGGTTTAGGGTTCAGGGTTTAGGGTACCCTAAACCCTATAAACCCCTAAACCTTAAACCCTAAACCCTAAGCCAGGGGGGGGGTTCAAGCTTTTAGAAGAGGGTTCCTGAAAAGGGGCTCTTTGAGGCTCCTTTTAATGGGATCTTCAGGGCTGCTTTAAAGGGGATCTTTATGGGTAGTTCTCTAAATTAGGGTCCCCTTTTGGGGGTCCTTTTTATAAGGGTGCCGTACTATTTTAGGGATCCAAAAGGGGACCCTAATTTAGAGAACTACCCTTATGCTTCCTTCAAAGGGATCTGTAGGGTGCCAAAAACCCAAAGTTTAGAATGCGGATCTGTGGGATTCCTTCAAAGGGTACTGGGGTGTAGGGTTTTGGGCTTAGGGCTCAGGGCTCAGGGCTTCGGGTTTAGGCTTGTAATTAGGTTTAGTTTAGGTATCATTTCAGGATAGGATAGGGTTTAGGGTTTACGGCTTAGGGTTTATGGTTGTTTAGGGTTGGGGGTGGTGGAATCAGGGGTGTGGGTTAAGTTATGTTAGGGGTTGGTGTTTAGGGCGAAGGGTTTGTAGAGGATGTTAGGCTTTTGGCAGGCATGAGGGTTCAGTACTTTTGAAGGCTTTGCCAGCGCTTAAATTGCAGGTCGGGACATGCAATTCTGGGGGCGTGGCGCTGTGAGTCGCGAGATTCTACTACCCATCCCGTCCTCCACACATCAAGAAGCCCGGGCACGAACAGTCTGATCCGAAACCCCCTCGAGTTCTAACCCTTCATCCTACAGGCTCTTGTGATGCGCGTACCCACAGCACCTCCGATGTAAAGGCCGGCCACATCGGTGCCACAATGGAACACCGCCATGGGTCCCAAGACTCGGGCTGGATTCCTGGGAAAGAAGAGGATTCCAGGATGAGCTTCTATGGTCTTGCAAGGGGGGTTCTATGTTTTCCCTAAACCATAAACCCTAAACCCTGAACCGTGGCTCTGTTTAGAGATTTTTGTTTGGGGGGCTTTAAGGGTCTTCATGACCTGCAGGATTCCTGGAATTGGGAGTCTTATCCTTGGAGCTAGTCGAAACGAGGCTCCAACTAAATAGAAATATATGATATATGTTTAGGCTTTAGGGTCTTAGGGGCCTCTTGTGGGAGGGTCGGGATTTCAGGATCTTTTGCCTAGTAAGCCCTAAACCCTAAACTCTAAACCCTAAACTCTAGACCCTAAACGACAGTGTTTCGGGCTGAGGGCTTCCAGGAGGGCTTTAGGGTGCATCTACAGCTTCTGAGCGGTGTGGATCCCCCAAATCTGGATCCGCACAGATGCAAAAGCCCATATATATATATATATATATATGTATATACATATATATACACATACACATCTATATATCAATATCAATCAATATATATATATATATATATATATCAGCCGCACGAGTTGGCGATGCCGAAATCTTAGGGTCTAGGGTTTATGGCTTGGGGAGCCTCTCCTGAATGTTAAACCGCAAGCCTAAACCTAGCCTAGTGGCCTCACAAACCCTAAACCTTAAACCCTAAACCCAGCCGTGGCACAGAGCCGCTCCGGTGTACTGGCCGCCGGATCCAGCGCAGGCCAGCAGCGCCAGACCCACGGCGAAGGGCGTGTGGCTACCATGGCCTGCAATTGCTTCCCGGTTTCGGGGTTTAGGGAGCGCGGCTTGTGGGTTGGGAGCAGCATTTAAGGCTTACAGCTGAAAGTAGTTGAGGTTTTGGGGCTTCAGAATTTCAGGCCTGCGGCTAAGGAAATCATAATACGGAAGCGCTAAAACCTAGGTTATTAGGGAAAGATGGGCATTACGGGGTGCTGCATGGGGTCCGGCTTGCAGGGCTTGGCTCCACCCTGGACTCCTCGGGGGGTATAGGAACCTAAGGCTTAAAGGCGTAAAGGCCGTAGGAACTGTTAGGGTTTAGGGCCTTGGGGTTTAGGGTTCTGGGTATTCTGGGTTTCGGGTTTAAGGCGTAGGGTGTAAGGGTGATTCTTAGACGTTTTTTTGTCCCCCGAGACCTGGCTTCGCGACGCCACAGGCATAGACGCAAGAGATCAGTGTAAAGGTCATGACGCACTCCCAGCCGAATACCTGGAGATGAACATCAGCCAAGGCTTGTCTACACAGACCAGTCCCTAAACTCGACAACTTAAACCGATCGGGGTTACCCGGAGAATGCCTTTTTGAGGAATAGTTGCATGGAGACCATAACAATTACTTGAGAAGAAGCGATTTGTTGTATAGGCAGCGTGCGACAGCCCGCCTGCTCGTCCGTGATGTCTGCATGGATGACGGAACGATCGAAGCAGCCAGGGCCGGTTCCGCCAGTGCCGATCAGGTCGCCAGCACCAGGCACCAGCCCAGCGGAGACCCATGCACCAACGATTGCGCCCGTAATCCTTGGAGCTGTCTGAGTCTAGAGATATAGCCGGCGTGCGAGGAAGACTCACCTGCCCCAACCCACGTTTTGTATAGAATGCCTATACTGCCAAGGTGAAGTTACCAATCGGTTAAGGAATAGATCCTACTAACTGGCCCCCAACTCTAAACCCTTGACCCGAGCCCTAAACCCTGAACCCGTCCCTTCTCGATCGAGGGAGGTCTCTGAGACCTTTCTAGTAACTCGAAGTTGCTCAGGGTCTACGATTTAACGCTTCAGGGCTTAGGGTGGAACAACTTCGTTGAGAGCCAAAGTCAAGAGACCCACACCCTAAAGTTGCCCTTAGCGAGAATCTGCAGGAGGACGTAGATGACAGTGTGGATCACCGGGTAGAAGCCGCAAACTGCGGTGCTGCAGCTCACGGCCGGGTTCAGGTGGCCACCGCTGATGTTTGCGGCGACATAGATCCACACGGCCAGCGCGAAGCCATTCACCTAGATTACCCAACAACTGCATCAGGGCTCCTTTTGGTATTGAGATTTAATATGATTATGGATCCCCAAGAATTAAGATCGGAATCGGGTGTTACTGGGGGCCCAGTCACAAAAGGAGCAAAGTTGGGAGCGGAAGTTCCGCCAATGATCTGGAAGAACATCACACCAAGAAACTCCACAGCCAAGGATACAGCAAACTGGCGTGAAAACACGGACTTGTAGTTGGCGAAGACGCTGTCCTGTTTCCGCACTTTCCCTACCATTCGTTACACATCCTCGGGAATGCGTGCCGGCCCAGCGCCATCGACACCAACTCTTGGGTTGGGTGCCATACATCCAGCCTCCAGCCTGAAATGAAAGCCCAAACCCTGAACTCAAACCCTAAACCCTAAACATCACTGAACCCTCCAAACCCTCTGAATATGAAGGCCCTGCCGGGCATATGGGGCTAGGGAGATGCTGAGAGAAGAACGCTGAAGTGTTCGGATTCAATTATGCCGAAGTCAAAGACACGAACAGGCAAGCCTGTGGGAGTAGTGGCACAAGGGGAATGTCTCAAGGCATTCATCCTTTGCAACAGTTGGGGCTCATATACCATGCCGGGAAACATTTCATTAGACCATCGTCCCAGCTTCAGATAAATTTAGTCTCTAAACCCGTTACTCCATGCCCTGAGCCCACCTCTAGTAACTCTAGTACCCAACCGTGTAGAGAGCCCTAAACCCTAAACCCTAAACCCTCAACCCCTAAACCTTAAACCCAAACCCATCCTTGTCCACCGTGTCACCGCCTGCACCCATGGCTGACACTTTAGAGCCTCTTTGGAGGGGACCTGGGGTGCAATTGTGAGCCGCTGGCCGGTTGATGCCCTTGAGCCAACGTGTCAAACGCATCCAAAGATGAGAGGCTGGTTTTAAACTTTCGGGCTTGCAGATGCGGGACCATAACCTATACCCTAGACCCTACACCCCGGCACCCTGCCATGTCTGCTTCTCCGAGCCCAGACCATGGCCCCAAACCCGTGCAGTTCACTGCCCAGCCGAACCAGCCCACGAGAACTCCGAAGCCTCATGCCGCCCCTGTAGCTTCCTCCGCAAAGTCCTTGTAGCTTTCCCGTTTTTAAAGCCATCAGGAGCCACTGATTCTGAGATCTTCGCCGAAAGCCTGAAAGCCTCAAGACTCTGAAACATGCATCCGGGGAGCCCAAAAAGGCTCTAAACTCCTAAACCCTGCAAGAGTTGCACAGTCGTCTCGTTTGGGTTTAGGGTTTAGGGGAGGTGGGGAGTTCAAGACGTCGGAATATCCCTAATATAGGGGCTTAAATAATTACCTATATTATTTTTTGGGGGTTCCTTATTATAAAGATAGTATGGTGGGCCCCCAAAACCCTATTCAAATTATAAAGGCCGCTACATTAAACCCTAAACCCTAAACCCGAAACCCTAAGTTTTGAGCCCTAAACCCCTAAACCCTAAACCCCTAAACCCCTAGACCCTAAAACCCGTAGGACTGCCGTCGCCGAACCTCGGCTGTGTCAGTTCGGGAGTCCTCCTGGACTGACGGCGTGGCCTTGGGGGCTTCGGCTTTTGGTTCAGGGCTTTAGGCTTGTAGGGTTTAGGCTTTAGGGGGGTCAGGGGTTTAGGGTTTAAGGATGTAGGGCTTGGGCTTAAGTTTAGGCTTTACGGGGCCAGGGGTTTAGGGTTTAGGATGATTTAGGCTTTAAGGATGTTTAGGGTTTAGGATTTCGCGCTTACCCTCTGCAAAAAGTCTGACTTGAACTACAAGGGTTTTGGGTTCTAAGCCATTCTAAACCGGTGGATGCTTTTTATTACCCTTTTATTTTTCTTTTTCTTTCCCTTTTTTTGGTGCGGATCTGCCCTGCGTGAGGATCAAAACCCCTCAGTGCTCGAAAGCTTGAAATGCAAAGGCCTGGAACTTAAACCTCAACACGTCTTCATGTAATGTGGGCGTCCTTTGAAAGCTTGCTTTAGGGGCTTCTTTAAGACGTCCTAGAGGGTGCAATGCAGAGCCTCAGCAGAGTAGACTAGAGTTCGGGTGTTGTTTATAGCATAAATCTACCAAGCCCCAAGTAATCACCACTGGAATTATTCAGGCTCCCACATTCGACTTTCGGCTGTCAGGTGTTAGGGTCTGATGGCTTCGGGTCTAGATTTAGGATTTAGGGCACATCTGAACTTCACTTCAAAAAAGAGTAACCCCGAAGCCCACATCGTCAACCTACATTCGCACCTCAAGACCTCAAGCCGCGAAGCTTGAAGCTCCAAAGCCCCAACGTTGAATCTGAAAGCCTGAGCCCTTGTGAGTTGCGAGACTACTGAAACCCTGAAGCCAGAAGTGCAACTTGAGATGATGATTTCAACAGGACATGGCTTACCGAGCAATTGGAACTCGAACAGAAGCTGCTGATGGCAAACTGCGAGCCCCCAAGCCCAAAGACGGTCTGAACTTCAGGAAATGAGCCACGAAACTTGCTCAGCCCTACACCCTAAGCACTGAACCCGAAACCCTGAACCCTAAACTCTAAAGTACCAAGAGAACACTGAATTCTCCGACCTTGCTGTCTCCTTGAGTCCGACTAGACCCTGAACTTGAACCCAAGCCGGAACCCAACAATGGTCCTAACCCCGCTTTGGTGCTTAGGATTGAGGGTTTTGGGCAACCCCTTAAAAAAAAAAAAACAACCAAAGCCTACACCCCAATCCCGATACGAAACCCTAAACCCTAAACCCTAAACCTTAAACCCTCAACCCTATCCCCAAACGCCACTAGATCAATCGAAGCCCCAAGCCCAAAACCCAAACCCTAAACACGAAGCCCGAAACCAATGTACAGGGCTCGCCTGTCCCTCTCCGGAAAGCTCTTGAGAGTCCTCCCCTTTCCTTAGCATGTTGAGGGGTTTCGGGGGTGTAGGATTTAGGGACCTACATTTCAGATATCTTGGAGTTGGGGCTTAGATTCTGGTTTGAGCTCTTCAGGGTTGTTGGGGTTGAGATCTTGCGGCACCCCATCTCTACTGTAGGCTTGGGGTTGGCCCTGGGGCCTTTGATCTAAGGCTCAGGCAGGTTTGGGCTTGGGTTCCGCAGACTGGCATCTAACGCAGCGCAGACGTCAAAGGATGCGCTGGAGATGCGCGTGAGATATGCAGGAGAGTTGCGGGTGAGACTTGCTCTCTGTCTCTCTCTCTCTCTCTGTGTGTTTTCCTTACCCTGATCTATGGCGAAGCATTAGATGCGCGTCTGTGAAGATATATGGTGGGAGATGTGTCTCTGGAGATACGTCCCCACAGATGTATTCCCGGACAGGTACAAGGGCATGTGCATGACAGGAGATGTGCGATGAAAGATGCACACTGCGCCGGACCATATATAAGTCTGCTGTCCGAACCGCTCCACGTCAAATGTGAAAGTTCCAGCGACCGCAATGTAACATGTGCTTTTGGGTGTGTCAGCAGGTGGTTACAAGACAGAGCTGTAAACCAAGCTAAACTATGCAAAACATCGACAATTGCCACCGTTTGAAGGGCTTATATAAGGAAACAATGATAAGGAACGCCAAGCCGGCAGGCTTTTTAGGGCTCAGGTATCTCCGACAACCGACATGATTCTGGGCTGGCACGACACCCTAAGCCCCAAAACCCTGAGTTTGGGGCCCACCTACTGTTGGGCGGCACCCAACTCTGCACTGCTCCCCCAATAACGTCATCACCCAAACCACACATCTTTTCGTTCTGGGAAGGCACAAGAGGGGCCTACTATAGGAGCCTAATAGATTATGGCCAATACTACTTTTGGGGTTCCTGATTATAGTTATATGTAGTATAATAGACCCCAAAACCCTGTTCGAATTATTATTAAGGCTTCTACATTACCCTGCCCCCCTGCCAATTGCCCTTTGCCCTGCCCCCTCTTTTGGGCTTCTCCCCCGGCCCCCGCACCCCGGTCTGGCCTGGCCTGCCCTGCCATGCCCGCCCTGTGAGACTTTATGGTCAGAGGACAGAGAGATGTTGACCAAGATGGGCCTAACGAAGTTGAGGTCTAAACCCCCAAGAGGTGGGTGGGCCGCCGACAACGGTGCGGGGTGGGAGATTACAAGAGAAATGGCCCGCTATAACCAGGCCTCAACATATCATATTCGACATGTACGAGGCACTCGATCAAACATTTTGCGGCATTTCTTCAACGGCCGCACGAAATTCAACGGCAAACCCTAAACCCGAAACCTTCAAGCCCGCACAGAAAATCCGGAACTCTAATATAGGGGCCTTAATAATTAAGGATTAGAATAGGGTTTTGGGGTATATTATACTATAACGATAATCAGGAACCCCCCAAGATGGTATAGGTAACTTTTAAGGCCTCCATATTAACCCACAAAGCTCTGGGGTCGTCGCTTGTCTTTTCTCTTCTTGCTGCCCTTTCTCTTTCTCGTGTTGGACGAAGCGTCCTGAACATGCGCAGCTGTCAGGGTTTAGGGTTTAGGGGTTAGGGTTTCGGGTTTAGGAAAGTTAAGGGTTTAGGGGATAAGTTCCAATATGTTCCAATCGTACTATCATAAACAGGGATGATAACCAACACAAAGAGAACTTGGTTGCACATTTACACGCATGTTTCTTCGTGTACAGTTCAACTCGCTTCTCTTGCTTGCATGACCTCGACTTACACGTCCCGGTGTTATGACAGTTGTTCATCGTGCTATGGCCGCTCTGGTAGTGCCCCTGCTGCTGAGAGTTGAGCTCATTGCTACTATAGCTTTCATCTTGCCGTTGTTCTTAGTTCATAACTGTCCTGCTTTGCTTAAACTTGAACAACTTGGTTTCCATGAGGCAACATGTCGCTGTAGACTGCGATGCTCCAGTTGCAAAAAGCCGCGCTTGCTATGGAATTCAGAGCCCCTTCAAGGCCGGACCATATACTTAAACCCTAAACCCGAAACCCCTGAACCCTGCATATGGATCTTGGGACTAAGGTTCCTAAATTCCTAAATTTAAGGTTTGGGCCCGCCTTTCTCGCTAAGCCACCCTGAGCTGTACCGGACCGATCTTCAGACCCCCACTCCGAACTGTAGGAGCTTTACTAGAATGCCATAATGCTCTGCAAGGGTTTCAGGGGGTTTGGTAGAATTCCCGTTCTGAAGCGCACCGACGCAAAGTCAAACGACCTATCAGTCCCGACAGACACGCCTTCAAGGCCCTCAAACCCCCAACAACCCCAAAGACTGTTACAAGCCCTCCTTAGGAACCCTAAAGAAACCCTAAGAACCTGTTGTCAGAAACCTTAAACCCTGAAACCCGAAACCCTATACCCTGGAACCCGAAACCCTAAACGGCCTTAGCCCTAAAAGGAACCCTCACAGCCAAAAAAAACCTCCTGACGAGGCCCGGGCCGAGGCTCCCGAGACGGAGGCCGCAGAAGCGGGCCGAAGGGGGGTGGCCGGCTCAGGGGGTGGGGAGCTCTCCTGGCAGCTTCGGCTTAGGAGGGTTTAGGGTTCAGGGTTTAAGGGTTTTGGGTTTAAGGGTTTAGGAGTTCAGGGTTAGGGGTTGCGCTAAACAAGAGGTATACAGGGGCTTCGCAAAGGTTCTGTAAAGGTTGCCAGCAAGGGTTACAATAGGTTTTTAGGACCAAGGCACGCGATGGAATACAAGGAACGGAACTCAGGAATACAGTATTTATGATTATGCCAACATTTGGGACTCAATCCACGCTGAAATGCTTCGGTTGAGGCTTCGAGGGGTCTGGTGTTTCCGCCTCTGACCTTCGGCTTTGATGCCCGAGACGTTTGG